GAAGGCAGCCCTGGGCCACAGGCCGGCACCCAGCGGGTCATGAAACATGGGTGCGGCCCTCGTCCGTAATTATTACTCATCAGAATGAGCAAGGGGATGTTAGGTGCCATGAAGAACACGAAAGAAGGCAAGGCAGTGGTCGGGGAGACAGTGCCGCTTTGGGTGTGGTGGGCGGGGTCTCTTCATGCGGCTGGTGTTGAGGCGCAGGAAATGGAGGGTAAGCCACACGAGTCGCTGGAGGGGGAATGTTCTGGGCAGAGGGCACAGCAAGTGGAAAGGTTTTCAAGATGGAGGAGACCTGGCACGCTCAGAACCAGCAGAAAGGCCCGTATGGCTGCCGTGGGGCGAGCACGTGGGCATGCGGTCTGGGTACCCTCAGGGCCATGGGAAGCCCGTGGTTACCAGCAGGGAGGTGACGGAATCTGATGCTTGCTCTGCTTCGGGCAGGAGCGCTTAGGAGGGCAGAATGGGGGCAGGGAGACTGGTTGGGAGAGATGGGGGACATTGGGTCGGGAGGTGAGAAGTGGTCAACATCTTGGCGGGTTTTAGGGGAAGTTGACACGATTTAAAGAATTGGATGTCGGGGAGAGGGGGGAACGAGAGCTGACTGCAGGGTTGGGTCTGAACAGCTGGGAGCGGCATTGGCACAGGTGGGGAAGATTAGTGACTCGTCACGGGGGCTGCTTAGCATGGATGGACTTCGGGGTACCTCATGACCCCCGGTGCAGGTGATGAGTGGCCAGCCTGGAGCTGGAGTGGGGGGGCGCCTGACTTTTAAACTTAACCTTAGTTCGCCAGCACATGGAGGTTTTAGAAAGCCACAGGACTTTGTAGTCACCGAGGGAGAGCATAGGTGGCAGGCGCAGACAGACGGTGTGAGGACTGAGTCAGAGGCGGCCAGCGTTGTGGCAGGAAGCCCCATGCGGGGTCCTGCAGCTTGTCCTGCAGCTGAGGACAGAGACGTTCGGGGAGGCCAGGAAGTGAGGCTGGATCAGGCGGCCTGGAGGACGATCTCTACCAAGCAGTAACCGTGTACCTGGGAAGTTGACAAGTACTCTCTAGAGCATCAGCCTAGTGGAGAAAAAAGGAGGATGTTTGCATTTACTTGAACTTCCAATTCTTCCCCCTTTCTAACTGGAAATCTGGTTTGGTAAATACCTCCTTTGCTAACATATGTCACCCGGTGGGAGGCACTAATGAGTAGGCCGGGAGGTTGAACAGGAGTGCCATCTGTCAGTGGGAGGTGACAGAGCGTGCAGGCTCCCTCGGGGCCGGGCTGGCCGTGGGGCCGAGCATAGATAGTGACCAGTTTCTCTTCTCTGCTGGGTGTGTCTCTGCCACTCACCTGACCTGCGCCTGTGGTGTGACCGGGCCTGGGAACAGGGCCTGCTGGTCAGTGGCACTTTCTTGTCTAGCAGGGAGACGTGTACTCAGGGTTGGGGGCTGGTCCTCTGGAGCTCGGAGTCAGAGCTCAGTGAGGAGTTGGGCCCAGTCTGTGGTCCAAATGAGGGTTCGGGTTGGAGTGAGCATCTGTCAGGCAGAGGCTGGGATTGCAGCCTTGGCGTGACCAGTTAGGGCTCCTGGAGTCAGGGTGGGCTCAGCTCCCTTGAGAGCTGGGTCCACGCTCTCCCATCTGAGCTTTGTCACCTGGCAGGACTAATGCCCCTCTGCCCCCCTGTCGTGCAGCAGGCAAAGATGGCAGAGAGCGCTTAGGCGGCTCGGTGCTGGAACAGATCCCCTTCCTGCCAAACTGTGAGGACGAAGACAGTGACGAGGACGACGAGCTGGACAGCGTGCAGCACAAGAAGCAGCGTGTGAAGGTGAGCGTGTGGCCCAGAGGACGTGCCCCTCCCGTTCTCCAGGGGAACCCCCCTGTTTTGTGCTCAGCAGCAGGGTACCCCTGTGGGGACCCCTGGGACTACCTCTGTGGTCTGTGTGTGGCCTGACCCCATCCCAGAGCCGTTGTTTCCTTGTCTCGGTAACCTCAGAGGTGCCAGGTCCCCCCGTTAGGGCCCGTCTCGGCTTGCCTGCACCCCTGTTCCCTCCATCCTCCCTCTTCAACTCAGGTGTTCCCGAGAGGCCCTTCCCAACCTCTCCAGACCCAGCCGGCCCCTGCGGTGCCCTGCTACAGCACGCTCTCCTTCAGGCTAGCCTGGTCACAGGCATGCTCAGATGTTTTGGGTGACGGTGGCTCTGTCTCCCCCAGTAGATTGTGAGCTCCGTGAGGCCGAGACTCGGAGTCTTTCCATCATTCTTTCCCCAGCACCCCGAATGAATGTGGCTGGGCCCAGGGTTCTGCCAGGGTGGGGGCAGGGCTCAACCTAGAACTAGACGGTGGGGGGCAGGGGGGCGGCTTCGCGAGGTGGTTCCAGAGGATGCGACTATCCAGTCTGCTGTTGGTGTCAGGACCCAGGCCCAGATCCCCTCAGCGTCTCAGCGTGACATCGAGATACAGCTCCCACCACATTTCAGCCCTGCTCCTTAACTGCCGAGCTGCCGTGCCTTCGCCATCTTGACGGCGCTGTCCTTAGGCATGGCCTTATCTGTCTTGTAAATGTCACTTTGGACCTTTGTGGACCAGCTCTGTGCTGACAGGGTATGGGGACACAGTTCCCAATGAGGAGCTAGTGGCTGGGGGAGGGCTCGTAAGCAGTCACGTGCAAAGGGACGTCACTGTGGAGACAGAGACACATGTGTGTGAAGGGGTACCTGTGGGAGATGGCCTTTCCTTAATGTAAGCTCTCATCAGAACCTCCTCTCTCCTTCAGGCCCACCTCAGACGCCCCTCTAGGAAGCCTTCCCCGACTCACCCTTGCTCCCCTTCCCCGCACAGGCTCAGGAGCCTCCTGGAGGCTCCCCCGTCCTTACCCAGACCACTCTGGGTCCTCCCTGTCCGGTGTCAGGTCTGTATCCTCCCCTCCCCCATCCCTGTGAGAGCCCAACCAGGTCCCTCCTGGCCTCCGCTCTCTAGTGTCCCCTACACGGCTCAGCGCAGGGTCCTGCCCCGACCAGGGGCTCCGCGAAAGCATAGTGCAGAGCCAGGACTCTAGAGTTGGGCTTGCGGGTGACCAGGACGTGTCTGAGCCTGGCCGCTCCAGGACTGTCCCCGTCCCTTCTGCCAGCCCTGGGGATTTTCACTCCTGTGCAAGTCTTATCTCCTCTGGGAAACCGCCCTGCTGTCCCTGCACCTCCCGTCAGAAATTATCGCTGACTTGTCACACTCCCTTAGGCCTTGTGTCTGCCACTGCCCCGTCCCATGTGCCCTGTGGGGTGTTTTTTTTTTTCATGCCTCCCCAGGCCCTCTGGCCGCACACAGCAGACCTTCAGTCACCAGTCTATCACTTGGAAGACCTGCTTGCGACTCCCACAGTGGCCACTGGTCTGGCCATGAAACTTTGGGCCCCGATTCTCTTTTGTCTTAGCTTCAGCATCCGGGGCTGATGGTCCCTGTCTCTGGGTTGTCGAGGATTCGGTTAAAATGAGTTCACTCATAGATAGCCCTTGGCCGCACAGTGGCAGACCACAGCATGTGCTCGGCGGTGGCCGTATGGCGCGTGGCAGCGGCGTGGCACCAGTAGTCGGTCACAGGTGGTATGGGCAGAGCGCAATTGCCCAGGGCCCTCCCGTGGTTCCTCAGTCCTGCGGGGCCCCGAGCCCAGCCCGTGCCTCTCTGGGCGTGCCACCTAGACCTTGACCCTGGGTCTCCTGGGAAGGAAGAGGAAGGTGCCTATGTGCCATCCCTTGGGTCCTCCCATGTAGGCCAGAAGCTGGCCTCTCACGGACGCCTGAAAGGTGTTGCCTCCAAATGTATACCCCCAGACCCAGCTTGGGGGGGCTGAGCCTGTGGGAGTGGGTCAGCCACACCCTCGAATTTGCAGTCTGAGGCCAGCCCCCCAAGTGCCCAGGACACCTGGCCAGGCGGGGACCACCTAGGCGGGAGAAAGTTCTCAGGAAGAGGCGGTAGTCCAGCCTGGTGGTCCTCAGACCCAGTGCCGGGGAGGGCCATGTTCCTAAGACGGCCCTCAAAGCAGAAGTCAGACGTCAAAGCTATCGCTGCAAACCCTGGGGTTCCCGGAAGCTCCGAGTGCACGGGCCCCTGGCTGGTGCTTGGTGTAAAATGGGATGCCCGCCCCCGGAGAGGGTGCAGGATCACGTGCGACAGGTCGTTCCCTGTCTGCGTGTGAAAGGCGTCCGTGTGGGCAAACGCGGGTGCCAGGCCGCTCCCGAATTCACACGTCTGGGACGGGCCTGAGGAAAACGGATGATTGCGTCCCTGCCCTGGTTAAGGCCCACCGTGGGAAACGGCACACCGCAGTCACTTGCCCGGCATTTCCTTTCTTAGAGCGAAGGAGCTGTTGTTTTCTCTCGTTCTAAAAGCAACACGCAGCGGTTCTATAAGAAAACAAAAAGCCAGCCAGTCTAGAAAGTTCTGAGGAACCTTGGAGAACCGCAGGGAAGCTCACACCCCAGAGCATGTAAAGGTGGCTTGGACCTGGTCACTTGGGGCAAGGGCCTTCACTCTGCTGAGTCTGAGTTTTCTCATCCGTAACGTGGAATGATAGTTACTATGATAACTTCGTATTTGGGGTTGTGAAATCGTATGTGTCTTGCTCAGTGCCCTGAGTAGTACAGAGAGGCTGGCACAGTGCTCCGTGAGGGTTTGTTGTTACCGTTATACCCGGGGGTCTGTCCCCTTTAATTGTGCGCTTCCATACACTCATCCAGACTCGAACGCACCGCCCTCTCCCCGAAACAGGTTGTCCTGTTTACTTTCCTTCGCGAGAAGGTCTGTGCTGCCTGCCAGGGATTGAGGGGAGCAGGAGCAGCCTGAGCAAAAGCCAGGAGGAGGGCTGTGAGGGGGTCAGAGCTGGAGGTGAGGAGGCAGGGGTCTCCAAACCCAGGCGCGGGCCTGGCACCACCCGGTCCTAGAAAAGTGCAGCCTCTGAAGACTTCCAGCAGGGGGAGCACAGCCACCGAAGTGTGGGGCTTGGGGAGGGAGCTGGTGGCCGATGTAGGACAGTTCCAGATGGAACCCTGATTTCTCTGTTTGCAGAGACCCGGTGTGCTTGGGCTCTAGGCATGAGCCCCTGACCTGTCTGGTTTTCCCTGTGTCCCAGCTGCCGTCCAAGGCCCTGGTGCCCGAAATGGAGGACGAGGACGAGGAGGATGACTCAGAGGACGCCATCAACGAGTTCGATTTCCTGGGCTCAGGAGAGGACGGGGAGGTCTCTCCAGACCCCCGGCGGTGCGCTGGAGAGGGGACCCACCATGAGCTGGGTGAGTGGAGGGTTTTCTGTCCAGCCTTCCTCAGTGAGGGCGGTTGGGGCACACAGCCACCTGCAGCCGCTTCCTGCCCAGGGTATCCACCGGATGGTGACACTTCCTGAGAGGAGGGCGGCCAAGGAAAGCTGGAGGCCCACGCCACAGCGGCCAGGCCTGCACCTCTTCCCTGGAAAATCCCCGTGGGGACACAGGCGGGCCTGGCTCTTCCTAAAGTAGGGCCGCCAGCCCTCCACGCATGTGCGTCCAGATCTTGGTGGACCCCTGGGAGGAAACAGGATGCGGGGGACTTGAGGGGCAGAGACAGACGGGGCAGTGCTACATCTTTCTCTCATCCTGTGACCCTGAGCTTCGAGGCGCTCAGGGTCACAGGATGACTGGGGACTGAGGCCCCAGCAAGGGCAGCTGGTGGAGGTTCCCGGCTGAGTCGCTCTCTTCTGCTTGTCCCCCACCCCCACCCCGACATTGAGCCCCAAGGCACCCTGGGGCCAGGGCTTCCTGGCCTCCCCACGGTTGTAGGAAAGGCTTGCTTCCGGTGGTGTGGAAAGCATCACCTGAGCATGACTGGGTTGAGCTGGTGGGTGACTCCTGCCTGGTGCTTGTCCCTATAGAAAGCCGGCGGGTCAAACTCCAGGGAATTTTGGCCGACCTTCGGGACGTGGATGGGCTGCCCCCCAAAGTGACTGGCCCACCTCCTGGCACACCCCAGCCCCGGCCCCACGAAGGTAAGAGGCCCTTTCACCCTGGCCCAGTCCCACGGGGCCTGCAGCACCTGTGGCAGAGGGAGGCTGCAGAGCCTCTATGCCCAGGGCTTCCGGGGCCCGAGGGTCGAGGCCCCGCCCGCAGTCTGCAGCCTCCCTGTCCCAAACGTTCGTCTGTCTGTCTCTGTCCGCCCCTCTTTTTGTCCTGTCTGGCCCTGTCCGTCTGTCTCTCCCTGTCTCTCTCTTTCCAGCTGTGATTCTTGGTCTTGTCCTGTCCCTGTCTCTCTCTCACACCTCACCTCTCTCTCTACCTCTCTCTGTCTCTCTCTCCTGGCCCCTCTCTGCCCCCTCCCTCCCCTCCCCCCACCAGGTTCCTTTGGCTTCTCCTCAGACGTCTTCATCATGGACACTATCGGGGGCGGGGAGGTGAGCCTGGGGGATTTGGCCGATCTCACCGTCACCAATGACAACGACCTCAGCTGTGATGTAAGTCGTCAGGGTGCCCCACCCTCCACGGCCCCCATCGGGTGTCCTGTGCAGCGCCAGCACTTGCCAAGTGCTGACTGCGTGGTCCATGCTCAGTCGCTTACATGTGAGGACAAGAGATGCCGATGCAGACAGGGCGGGGCACTTGACAGGGGCACCAAAGTCCAGGCCCTAGAAGGTTCTGGAGCCCTTGTCTTCATCATGGTGCCAGGCTCCTTCTGCAGGAGATGCTCCCTCCCACCCCGGCTCACGCACAGCCCAAGTCCAAGAGCCACCACTGCTGGGGGCGAGGCGAGGGGAAACTGAATTGAAGGATAGTGTCAGAGGAGGAAGGGGACTCCAGGCAGGCGGCAGTGTGGGTGGGAATTGAGCTGACCTTTGACGAGAAAGTGGCCTCCAACCAGCAACCAAGTGATCAGGCCAATCTGGTGCATGTGGGGACCAGAGGGGCCGTCAGGCTAGAATGAAGGGCGACCTTAGGGCCAGTGTCCTGAGCGTGAGGTCCGTGAGGGGCATCTGGCCACCTGGGAATCCAAATCGGCACGTGTGTACCTCCCTGCGGCAGAACACTGCCCCAGCTTGTAACAGGACATGGGGCGGTGGGCGGTCCCAGCGAGGTCAGGGGCACTGCTGCAGGGGGCTGCCCAGTGTGACCCCCTCCTGGACGTGGTGCGAGTGATGGAGTCACCCTACAACAGCTGATTCTCTGCTCTTAAAAAGTGTGCTAGAAGTGACAGCTGAGGCGGGGACCTTGGGGGACGGAGCCTAGATGACAGGGTTCATCAGATGCGAACTCTGACTTGGGGCCGATCGGTGAGGCTTGCCTGACAGGCTGCTCTTCTTTCCCAAGTGACCCACCCTGGGTCCCCACTTGGAGAGTGACCCCACCGTCCCTCAGGGCGTGTGCAGTATCTCTGGGATTCTGCTCACTGTTTGTCTCCATTTCCCCGCCCCAGTGTCAGGTCTAAGCGCGCTTCTCCTTCGGAGAGACTTCCCCGTGGCCGCTTAACCTCACTTCCGTCTTCCCTGATCCAAGCTCCCCTTGGCTGGCTGCAGCAAGCCGGTCGTTTCAGCCCGTCATCTTGCTGCTCTGGGCCCTGCCGGGCTCCCCGTGTCTCCTGGGATGAGATGCAGGTTCCTCAGTGTGGCTCTCCTCAGCTCTGGCCAACCTGTCTGGCCGCACCCTCTGCCACTCTCCCCTGGCTTTCTGCATTCCAGCCCCTCCTCATGCTCTCATCCACCCTTGCTGCCTCCTGCCTCGGGCACGCGGCACAGGCAGTTTCCTTCTCGGTCCCCTCCCCTTGTCTGGTGAAGTCTCGTTCACGTGTCACTTGCTCAGGAAAGCCTCGTCCCGGCACGCTTTTAATTCACAGCGCTGCCCGTGGTCCGTACGCCTGTGCCCTGGCGGGGCCATCCGAGTGTCTCCCTGAGCCCCCCTGAACTGGGAGACCGCAGGGCTTTGGGCTCACCTTTGTCTCCCCAGAACCAGCGCAGTCCCAGCACACTGTAGGAACTTGTTGAGTTGCGGGGTGGGCGCTGCTGGGCGAGGAGGAATGAGGTGTGTCCAGGGCTCGGGGCTAGTCTGGGGTGCTCCCCAGGCCGGGGAGTCCTGGATGTCAGTGTCTGCAGGACTGCTGGGTGGGAGAGGAGACACTGAGGTAGCTCCCGCCCCCCACGCCCCAGCTGTCTGACAGCAAAGATGCCTTTAAGAAGACGTGGAACCCCAAGTTCACCCTCCGCTCCCACTACGACGGCATCCGCTCCCTGGCTTTCCACCACAGCCAGTCAGCTCTGCTCACCGCGTCGGAGGACGGCACGCTCAAGCTCTGGAACCTGCAGAAGGCCGTCACTGCCAAGAAGTGAGGCAGCCACGCGGGTGGAGGGCTGGGCCCAGGGGACCGGGTGACGAGGGGCT